ATACAGTAGAGCCTCGATTATCCGACCCCCGATTAACCGACACCTCGGTTAACCGACCGTCCTAGTCGGCAAATTTCAAATGTCCGCTAGTGATGTGGCGCTACAATATTTGGCTATGTCTTGGCTACTTTAATATTATTTTTACGTGTTTTAGCTGGCAACACTCATTCGACCATGAAAGGGAGCCAGTATTTAAATGAGGCTTAATTTTCTAATTTTTAACGATACAATAGCGACGATTATTATTTTTAAAAAAATTTTGTTAGGCTTAACATCGATGAAAATTCAACGCGAAGTAGGTTAATATCGATATACTAAAATACTAATATACTAATTACATGGGATATAATGATATACTACACTAATAATGGATTTTTTCATACTTTTCGGTTATCCGCCCTTTCAATTATCCGACCAACCCCAGTCCCCAATTGAGTCGGATAATCGAGGCTCTACTGTAATCCGTTCCCATCCTGAAAAATAGGTACAAGAATAAAAATTATGTTGTTTGTAAAACTTTATCTTTATTGTACTAAATAAATACAGTATAGTGATAGAAGGGAAAGAACAGTATTATTAATATAGTATTATTGTTTAGAAGACATATCAATTAAAACATTAGGTAATTCCAGTTATGATCATGGGGTCTGTTTTGCCAATGATTCAGTAGCACTTGATTTAATAAAAAACTTGTCCAGTGTTGTGTTTTTTTTCTGCTTTTTAAAACTTTTCTGAAGTAGGCAATTACATTATTATTGAATGTATTTGTATTTTGGTTGACTATAGCAACATTTGGGGGTCATTTTGGAGTGATTGGAACTTGCTTTCTCACATTGATGATTTTTCAATAACTCAACAATACACACGGGATGACCACACAAAGCAGACTGATTAACTACAGCTAGCTGATTGGCGTGGATGTGCGATTGTAGTGCCACTTCCAGTGTTGGAATGACGATGAATACAGAAAATACTGATGAATATAGAAAAATAAAAAAGTCATCAAAATGTGACGAATATCAAATATTACAAATATAGAGTTCCACTGTATTTAGCAGCATATTATTCTAATATGTTACATCCATTACAAGAACATATTGTTTAAAGCTTGCATTTACAAAATGTCGAAATTTTAGAAAACCAAAAATTTTTGCTTTGATTGGATTTGAAATTAAATGACCTAAAAATACAGTTTATTTATTTATTATTTTAAAGTTTTCAGTATTTCCTTAATATTTATTAGATATTCTTATGGATATTATGGAAAAAGTGGCAGACGGTATAATTGTGTAAGTTTATTAAAGCTCTACTTAAATATAACTTTTAATATTAATTATTTGTAAATTTAAAGCTGTAGAAAAAGCTTAGGAGTTTTATTTATTTATTATATAAATAATAAATAACTGGCTAACTATGAATTTTAATGTAGCAATTATGTTATAAACATTTGCTAATGTAGAAATTAACATTTTATAACATCTAGTTTAAATTTATGTCAAATATTAATATTAACCCCAGTAACTTTAGCTTTATAGATTTTGTTTACATCATAAGACCCATCTGAAGAAACAAAAATCTAAACAAAGTGTTTTGTTTTGAATGGAAGCTAATCAACAACTTCAGCAATTTCATTGTTGTTAATCACATGATACCAGAACACTTAATTTCTTTGCTAGTGAGACTGTCTTCCCATAGAAAGTTTAAAATTTAGAAAAATTTATAAATAGTATATTGTCATTTATAAATTGAACAGTGATTGTTTTGTTAATAACTAGTGATTGCTCATGGCATCTAATGTGGGGGTGCTGTCACAATAGGGCATGCAGCACTCAACACTAATAGAATCATTTTTTTTTTTTTCCTTATAATTTTATATCATGACTTGGTGCATTTATCGACACTTGGCAAATAATTTCATCATCCACTTTTAATTCATACAGATACGTGTTTTGGGCTTTCACCCCTCTTCAGTCTGTTACATCGATAGGTTGTGACTTGTGTATACAGTATCAGTCAGGCACTTTCTGTACTTCCCACTCCCCTCCCCTCCCCTCTTCTCCTGACTTGACGGTCTCTCCCGCATGCCTCGTAACCTGTAACGTGTTATTTCCCCGAGTGCTGCACACAGCCTCGCCTGCAACTGTATAAACATTCTATTTTAATAATTATAGCCAGTTTTTATGAATGACAGGGAAAATATAAAAATGAGCAAGAATTACAGACTTGCAAGCCTAGATATAATAAACATGTACCCTTCGATAACCTGGAATCTAACAGAAAGTAAACTAAAAAAGAAGTAATTGATCTAATAGAATTTGCATACAGGAGCAATTATTTCGAAGTCAACAATAAGTTCTACACGCAACAGACAGGCATAAGCATGGGATTAGTTATAGGCCTGAAGCTAGCAGAACTTGTTATGGTAGATATAGATCAAGCAATCAAAAAGTTTACAGGCATAACGTTCTATAAACAATATGTGGATGACATAATTATACTATATGACCAAGAAATAACAAAATTAGAAGAAATAGAAGAAAAAATAAACAAATTAAACGATAACATCAAATTCAAGGTAGAAAATGAGGCAAACACGGAAATAAATTACCTCGACATTAAAATAATCAGGAAAGCAAACAAGATTGAATTCGAGCCATACAAAAAATCATGCGAGATCAGGAATGTGTTAAACTACAATTCAAACATTCCGCAATACATAAAAGAAAACATATTCATCACGGAGTATAAAAAGATCGAGAACAGAACAAGCTCACTACAGAAGAAGAAAAAACACCTCAATGAACTGTGAACTAAATTCCTATTAAACGGCTACCCAAAATGAATACTAAATAACTGGGAAAGAAAAATGAACAAAAGGCTGGAAAATAAACAAAACAGAGATAAAAACATAGTAAGATACATAATCTTCCCCTACATTCGTGGCTTCTTTGAACAGGTAAACAAAAGTTTTGATAAAATAAATATAAAGCTAGCCCCAACCTATAACAACTTGCAAAAAAGAATCCGGAAGGCTGAACCTGACATAAATAAACAACCAGACAAATACAACACTACCGAAGTCGTCTATAAAATACCTTGCACATGCAAACCGCCAAAAGTATACATTGGAGAAACAAAATGGAAATTAGAAACAAGATTAAAAGAACACATCGTATCAACTCTGAAGTATAATAGAATCAACTCTGTGTTTTATGAACATTGCATGACCCACAACTGCAAAATAGACAAGAATGATGCAATAATAGTACACAAAGAAAAAAATTGGTACAAAAGAAAATTCAAGGAAAGCTACGAAATTACTACAGACAAAAATAATATTAACAAGAACCTAAGCATTGACATTCATAAAAACTGGCTACAATTATTAAAATTGAATGTTTATACAAGTTGCAGGCGAGGCTGTGTGCAGCACTCGGGGAAGTGACACGTTACAGGTTACGAGGCATGCGGGGGAGGCTGTCAAGTCGGGAGAAGAGGGGAGGGGAGTGGGAAGTACGGAAGGTGCCTGACTGATACTGTATACACAAGTCACAACCTATCGATGTAACAGACTGAAGAGGGGCGAAAGCCCAAAATGCGTATCTGTATGAATTAAAAGTGAATGATGAAATTATTTGCATTAAAGTGTCGATAAATGCACCAAGTCGTGACATAGAATTAGAAGAAACAAGAAGAAGAAGACACAGTTTCAACAAATAAATAGAATCATTTTTATTTTTATATAAAGTTTTGATTGATGCTGGTTTTGATAAAATCATTAATTGTAAGTTAAAATTGATAAAAAGCAATGCTGACCAAAATGTCAAAATAAAAATGATTATGTTAGTGTTATGTGATATGCACGTTGCAACACCTCCCTATTAGATGCCACAAGCCACCAATGTTAATAGCATTCTAGTATATGAACCTTGATCTTAAATTGATCTAATACTAAATTTTCTTATAATTCAAGAGTTAATTTCGTAACTGCAGAATTCATTTGAAATTATTAAAAATAAACAAATTGCTTGTTAATTAAGGAAGCCAAAAATAAGAATTTATGAGTTGAATGTTGAAAGTAGACAAATTATAATTTGTCTACTTTCAACATTCAACTAATGATAAACCAAAGATTATATATACAGTATATATTTACTATTCTGTATAATATATATAGAATTAGAACTTCAATTTACATAATATATATTTGTATTTCATCAAACTTTCTTCCATTCCATTCAATAAGAAATGATTTATCCATGAACAGATGAAACAAAATATGTGTCGTCCTTAACCTATATCCGGTGTGAAAACTCCAAACAAAGATTGGCAAACGCTTTCGATGCCCCTCCTGGGCTCTTCTTCAGGCCAAATTTATTGCACTGGATTCTTAAATCGAATGTTTTTAAATAAGAACGTTCTCTGATTACCTTCCTTATTTGAACTTCTAGTAGCAAATTACCTTTAATTAATAAGGTAAGATGGATGTGCCTAACAAAAGCTATCAGAGATACTAGAAAGAAGGTATATTCGATGATAACCAGAATTATTGCAGTGGAGAACAACTTATTTCAACAGGATCCTAATATTTTACGTATTGAAAATGCGAAGCAGGTTAACTTTCATAACAGACTAAAATACAACCTAAAGGTTTGTTTTAATCTAAAAATGAAAGATATTGAAATTTCAAGTATCTAAAAGATCCACTAAGATGGAAGCTCCGTTTGTAGTGTGGGATAATATACAAATTCCGGACTTTGTTAGCCAGATACTAAAATTTGGTCTGGCTTATGTACCACCTCCATCCCAAAAAGAAACTATTAACTCTAGTATCCCAGATCTTGAAAACCTTATAAGAGGCCTTTCTCAAAAACAAAGAGTACTACAGATGGCTATCTTCTTTAAGAATAAGTAGAGCTAGAGAATCAAAAGACATTTCACAGCTCAAACATAAATTAAGTCAAGCTTCCAAATGGATAAAATCTAATGATATTGTGGTAACCAGAGCTGATAAAGCCAGAGTTATGGTGCTAATGAAGAGAGAAACATACGAGAAAGAATTAGAAAAATACTTATCAGAAACACAATGCACGCAAGTTGAAACGAACTGGGTGGAGAAAATGCAAGCAAGGGTTAAACGAATTGCCAACACCAANAATACACAGGATTATTATAAGATGCGCACAACCTATCTTCACGAATATAAATTATAAAGAAATTATAATTTGGAAAGGCTTGTGATTACCTTCCTTATTTGAACTTCTAGTAGCAGAGCACGTTCTTATTTAAAAACATTTGATTTAAGAATCCAGTACAATAAATTTGGCCTGAAGAAGAGCCCAGGAGGAGCATCGAAAGCATTTGCCAATCTTTGTTTGGAGTTTTCACGCCGGATATAGGTTAAGGACGACACATATTTTGTTTTATATGACCCGGTGTAGGAGAAATCCTTGGTTATTTATAGCTAGAACAGATGAAATTTTTTTTATATAGCTTGTATGTGAAAATACAGTCTAACATTTGTTTTTATGATATAAAATTTCAATTTTTTTTTATAAGAATAAATTTTATGAAGATATTATTATAAATTTTCTATTATTTCTAAAATCAATTTTATTTTGACAGCCCTAACATACACCATACCGTTCCTTTTGATTCAGTAACGGATGCCATGAAGTGTCTTTCTGAAATTCGAGTCGGAAAAGTTGTTATGAAAATGGAGTAATAACTCTGAAGTAAAAACTTCATTAATAGAAGTGAATAATCTGCAGTCGTACGCTTTCTGTGACGTTATTGTTAGATGTAATTATAGGCCTCAGTATATTACATCTGTGACAATATTTACTGGTCATTTATCTATTTAGTCAGACAAGACTACAGTATTTAACTAAAACTAGCCTTAATATTTATAGTAAAGTTTTGTGAAAGTTCATCAAAAGTATACAATATATACAGTATAAAACATGGAAGTTATATTGTAGTTATTCAAGAATTAGTTAAG